CCACCTTATCTAAATGTTGTTTCAAGTCTCTATTTGTAAACTAGCACTGACACTTTTCAATTTTGATTAATTTACCAAATTTTTCTATCATCAATTCATTACATTCATCTGTTAAACGTTAAATGTATCTACATTTAAAATTTTTAGATCATTACAACTTAAATCTAGTTCTTTTAGGTTTGAACCGTTCATAAAGTTCTGTGATATTATATTTTTATTTATCGATGAAATATTTCGTAAAATAAGTATTTCTAATGTTGAATCTAATTGTTCGAGAAGACCATTAATATCTAAATTTTGAAATGGATTATTGCTCAAATCTAATGTAGATAATTCAGTGGTATCAGAAAATATTTCTGCTTGAAGTGCTGTTAAATTATTTGATGCTAATATGAGTTCGTTTAAACCACGAATGTCCTAGAAATAAAAACTAATAATTTAAAAAAGAAATTCTATGATAAATGTAAAAAATTGAAAAATAGAAGTACCTTGAATGTTGATTCCTGTATTCGAATAATATGATTTGATTTTAAATTTAAACGTTTAACTCGAAGTTTGATAAACTGACATCTTGTTAGTAAATCAATTTTATTATTTTCAAAATCAATTTCAGACCATGTTGTATCACTGTTAATTTTTGGTATACTTATAATATTGGAATTCATACAATCTAATCGATATGGAAAATGTCGAACATCAGTACGACAACCATTGGGTGCCATAAAAATACCCCAATGATCATGTTCGTTTAAATTTACACAGTGAACAACAAAGAATAGACTGTAGACGATGATAAATAGCGATGATACGAACATGTTTTCTTAAAAAAAGATTGATATTGTTAATTTTATGATCGAGTTTTTCAAGTGACTTAGACGTTACTCATCGTTTAACCGCTAAATCGCATAATTCTATCACTCTGACGAGAGGACCTCCCGAACTGTGACATCGCTTTTTCAGTCAAACCTAGTGGATTATAGGTTATCAACTATTCTGAATGCAAATATGATAGTGGTAGCTATCCAGGGATCTTCAGAGAGCTGTTTTCTGGAAAATCAGTTTTTCAGAAACTGTAAAAAGTAACCAAAACCTTTCTTAATGAAGCATGATTGTAGTCCGCGAATTTCTGATTAAAATGAGACATCTCCCACCTCTACACGACCTTTCCTTGCAAAGTTATAGAATTTACAAGAAAAGCCCTAAATTAATTTCTTCTTATTTCTGTAGCTTTGATGTGATAATGAACATTTAGGGCTTTTCTTGTAAATTCTATAACT